AAAACTCCGTCTAAAAAAAAAAAAAAAAAAAAAGAATTTTGAGATACAAAGTAGTATGCAAAGGAATATATTAATTTGCCATTATCTAGGTAGATTTACTCAAAAAGAGTGAATCAACTTAATATGTACAAATGATAGCTGTGAAACTGTCTTTGTGTCAGGCGTGGGGTTCATTGTGACCTCCAATTTTGTCTGAAGGACCAGCTGGGCAAAGTGTTTTTTAAATGTTCAGAGGCCAAAAGATAAACAAAACAAAACCTTAAAATCCTACCTCCTTAAACAGCCTTCAAAGAAGAGAATCCTCAGTGCAATCATTATTTTGATTCTTTTGGTACCTGTTTTCCTTGAGTTTCCAATTTTATTATTTTGGGGTGCTCCAAGCAGTAAGAGGTTTAATCTTTGATGGCATTGTTCTAGTTTTGAAATTTCTAGCATATTTCAGAGTCTCTTAGAAGACTTGTGTGGGAAGTTTCATTTTGTTTTCACTGAAGGTCACAAACCTCCTTCTTCTTTGACTCAGAGAGGAAAGGTGCCAGTATACACATTTGAATAGTTGATAGTTTTCAAGACCTTCAAAGAGCTTCCAGCATTTTACCTAGAAACAGAAAAGGCCTGCAAAATCTTAAGTTTCCTGGCCTGCATTTCCCAGGTAGGGGCAAATGACTCTAAGCTGGTCTCTAGGCCAATACCCTAGTAAACCAGAGCCCAGGAAAGACATTTCGAGTGTTTTATTCTCTGGAGCTCAATTCTATGCAGTTGTGCTATTTCATTAAGTCACTGTGTATTTTTAAGTGTTGATACATCAAAAGTCGCTTTATGGAAGATGAGTAAATTTTTTAAATACTTGGAAATTTTATTTCCTTGTTAATATCTGCAGATCAGGGCATGTAACCAAAAGCAGCTTAAATGAAATATTAAAAAATGAAATATCAGGAAGCTATTTTTAGATTTCTTCTGGCATATGTTTCTATTTTAGGACCCTCATTTTTCTCTTATTAAAAAAAAATTATTTCCTGTACATCTCATGGACTGCAGGGTAAATTATTTGGGCATAAATAAGTTAAACGAAAGTATAGTTTTCTTTCATTGACCGTCTCCACTAATAACAGTTTTTATTCGGCGGTATATTTGGTTATTGCACAAATCTTAAAAATGTACATCAAGTACTTTTTGAGGGGAAAGTGGTATCAGTACTCATGAAAAGGTTACTACTGAACAGATTCACATTTTAGGAACACCTATCTTTAGTTTAAATCTTACTCTTAGTTTTCAGTCTAAAAATCATACCAGTATTAGTATCAGGTAAGGAAATTAAAGTTTTTTAAATGGTTTCATTCTCTGCAATATGCAAATTCAGATTTTATTTTCTGGTACTGTAAAGAACCTGAAGTGATTCACACTTAATGGGTATTAATCCAGTATTCTTTACCCTGACTGTTTGGATATTAAAGTTCCTTTATGTTTTCTATAACCTGTGGGATCTTCTTGCAGTGATTATTGTGTGAGATTTTTTTTCTTTTTGGTCTAGCCATGTTGTTACATTCACTCAGGTATTTGTTAATTTTTCAGAATCTTATTTTGGAATCAGTGGTTTACATTGGGTTACTGTTTAACACCAAATAGAATTGGCATTCTGCAGATTTAATTAATTATGAAACCAGGGTCTCATTTTCCTTGCTGATACTTGTTGAAAATGTGAATCACATTCTAGTCTTTATTTTCTTCGTGTTTGTCCCTGTGCTTCCTCATCTTCCTTTTGTTTATGTGTTGCAGTTTTGTTCCGTTTGAGAAGGCAGTTGTTAAGAACTAGATTGCATGTACAAAGACAGGTTTACTAAGTACTCTGCAATGCTCCTGAGGCTACAGTTGAATTAGAAAAACAAAATGTACTTACAGGAATAAGAAAGCAAATCTTTCAAATGAGAGTGATGATTTCTTTTCTTTCTTTTTTTTTTTTTTTTTTTGAGACGGACTGTCTGTTGCTCAGGCTGGAGTGCAGTGGCACTAGGCACTATATTGGTTCACTGCCACCTCTGCCTCCTGGGCTCAAGCGATTCTCCTGCCTCAGCCTCCCGAGTAGCTGAGACTACAGGCACACAACATCACACCTGGCTAATTTTTGTAATTTTAGTAGAGACAGGATTTCACTTGGCTGGTCTCAAACCCCCGACCTCAGGTGATCCACCTGCCTCCATCTCCCAAAGTGCTAGGATTACAGGCATGAGCCACTGCACCCAGCCTGAGAGTGATGATTTCTTTAAAAAAAAAAAAAAGAAAGAAAAAAGCTGGCCCCACCCCCACCCCCACCCTGCTCCCAGGCTGGGTCCACTTAAAAAAAAAAATTATTTTTTCTTTCTTAAATGTTCTTTATTTCACGAAATCTTCAGTCTTAAGCATGAGCAGGAGTAAACCCAGAAGGAACTCAATTCATTCTTCCTGGATTTTCATTGTGTATTATTAAATCACAAAAATGATAGTCCCCAATCATTTCTTTATAGGAGGTTATTACATTTTATTATAGTCACTGCATTTTGACTGTTGTGTTAGAATTTGAAGAATGTACATCCAAATTGATGATTTTAATTTAAGAGCCTTAATAAAATGTGTGAGTGTATCTCAATTGAATAGGGTTTTCTCCCTTCATTTGGAGACCTTAATTCATATTCATATTAACCTACAGGTGTCAGTGGTCAATGGTAGCAGGTTTTTTTTTGTTGTTTGTTTGTTTTTAATGAGACGGAGTTTCTCTCTCTGTCACCTAGGCTGGAATGCAGTGGAACAATCTCAGCTCACTGCTGCCTCCACCTCCTGGGTTCAAGTGATTCTCCTTCCTCAGCCTCCCTAGTAGCTGGGACTATAGGTATGCGCCACTACACCCAGCTAATTTTTGTATTTTTTTAGTAGAAGACGGGGTTTTGCCATGTTGCCCACGCTGGTCTGGTCTCTACTCCTGACCTCAAGTGATCCACCTGCCTCAGCCTCCCAAAGTGCTGGGATTACAGATGTGAGCCCCTCACCCAGCTGAATTTTTGTGTTTATAGTAAAGATAGAATTTCCCCATGTTGGCTAGGCTGGTCTCCCGACCTCAGGTGAACCTGCCTCAGCCTCCCAAAGTGCTGAGACTGCAGAAGAGAGCCACTAGGCCCAGCCAATGGTAGCATTTCTTGAGTGTCTTGCAGTTAGAAATTTTTGCTCACTCAAATGGCTATTTGCAGCACTAGCTTCAGAGAGGAGATTTTGCGAAGATTCACCAGTAATTAATTACACTGTGGCTCCTAAAGCTGAAGGGTAAGGTTACTGAGATAGTAAATGCAACTTTAAAAAGGAAAAAGAAAACTTTACTAGGTGATACTGTTCAGAAAATAGAGATTAAGTACAACTTTGTATACTGGATAAATGAGATCCTTAGCTATTTATTCTTGTTCAGCTCTAGAATGTCAACAGCCAGACTTATGCCCACCAGGCAGGATGTTGGAGGATCCTTCTGTGGAAAAACTAAGTGACTCCTGAGAGACGGCAGTTACATTTGCGAGCACCCACCAAAAAAGCCAACTGGCCACCAATCCCTCTACAGCGAGTCAATAAGGCCTGCTTATGTACACAAATCTTGTAGATAGGTTTTTAGTGCTTCATTTTTATATGGGATGGGAAAATACCACTAGAAATTTGAGGAAAACTTTGATTGTGAAAGGTAGCTCTAAACAAAAAGTAACTCAATTAGAAAATTCCCAGGAACTGGAGTATCCCCAGATAAGATGCTGTATTCAAGAAATTTTGATGGTTGGCCGCAGTGGCTCACACCTGTAATCCCAGCACTCTTGGAGGCCAAGGCAGGTGAATCACAAGATCAAAAGGTTGAGAGCATCCTGGCCAACATGGTGAAAACCCATCTCTACTAAAAATACAAAAATTAGCTGGGCGTGGTGGTACGCACCTCTAGTCCCAACTACTTGGGAGGCTGAGGTAGGAGAATGGCTTGAATCTGGGAGGCAGAGGTTGCAGTGAGCTGAGATCGCGCCACTGCACTGCAGCCTGGTGTCAGAGTGAGATTCCGTCTCAGAAGAAGTTATGGGCTGGGTGCGGTAGCTCACGCCTGTAATTCCAGCACTTTGGAAGGCTGAGGTGAGCAGATCACAAGATCAGATGTTCAAGACCAGCCTGGCCAACATGGTGAAATCCCATCCCTACTAAAAACAAAAAAATTAGCTGGGCGTAGTGGCATGTGCCTGTAATCCCAGCTAGTCAGGAGGCTGAGGCAGGAGAATCACTTGAACCCAGGAGGCAGAGGTTGCAGTGAGTTGAGATCGCGCCACTGTACTCCAGCCTGGGCAACAGAGCAAGACTCTGTCTCAAAAAAAAAAAAAAATTACGGCCAGGTGCAGTGGCTTACACCTGTAATCCCAGCACTTTGGGAGGCCAAAGCAGGCAGATACCTGAGATTAGAGTTTGAAACCAGCCTGGCCAACACGGTAAAACCCCATCTCTACTAAAAATACAAAATTAGCCAGGCAGGTTGGTACATGCCTGTAATCCCAGCTGCTCAGGAGGCTAAAGCAGGATAATCACCTGAACCCAGGAGGCGGAGGTTACAGTGAGCCAAGATCGC